CCATCCTCAGACGGACCCCTCAACACCCGGACTCTGTGCTGCGCAATGTTAAGCAAGTAACGCGACTGAACAAATAAAACAAAAACTCTTATCAAGTTATTTTTATTAGCCTAGTGTAAGAGATTGGTTTTGTTTTGGATGTGAAAGTCAGTTGCCGCGCACAAGCACACTGAATCCATTGCGCAGATTAGTTATCGCTCGTGAGGAAGGACCTGGCTTTAATTCAGCTTGGGTTCACTCAAGATAATGTTTAACTCCGAGTTCTTCTTTGGTTGAAAAGATGCTAAAGTTTTCGAAATCTGAAATGATAAAGTTAAATATGCCTTTTATTGACCTTTCAACTGTAGATTGTCGATGATACCTAATTTAATATGAATTACTAATTTCTCTCAGACCATTTATTTGGCAATTTTCATCTAGGGTCGTTATGCATTAAATGAGAGTTAGTGGAATTGTTCCACATTCTGTGTGCTAGATAAATATTTCAGGTTTCCAACTTCAGGCCTGTGGACTGAAGTGCAATTTTCAGTATATTCATTAGGGAGGCAGAAACACATTGATCATGCAGCGATTCCCCACGAGGATTGGATAAAAAATGTATAGAAGTTAAAAGAGCATTTAATACCTGGACAGCTAACTTCCTTGATTAGGCTACAAGTTTATATTCTTTTGTGGTGTCTGTAACTGTGTAGAGATAGTGATAACCAAACGATCATTGATTTCAATGAAACCTGTGATCGTTTGATAAACAAAGATTCGCGAACACACACACACACACACACACACATATATGTATATATATATATATATATATATATATATATATATATATATATATATATATATATATATATATCTATATATATATATATATATATATAATATATATATATATATATATATATATATATATTATATATATATATATATATATATATATATATATATATATATATATTATATATATATATATATATATATATATATATATATATATATATATATATATATATATATATATATATATATATATATATATATATATATATATATATATATATTATATATATATAATATATATATATATAGATATATATATATAATATATATATATATATATATATATATATATATATATATATATATATATATATATATATATATCTTGGTAGCAGTGTTTCTTATAAACATATTTGAATGTGACAGAAAGAGTGAGGTCAATGATTCTAGCACGATTCTTTTCTATTTTTCTTCACTTGCAAAAGGAAGTTGAAAAATTAACTCTTCAAAAGTTCATTTACAATTTTATTATGGACTCACGCTAAGAGATGCGTTACGTCGAGTGAATACACTGAATACATTCTAGCTGGAACAACCGAAAATATAAACGAGAGTGAGTTGAATTGAAGTATGGCATGGGCCAATAAGTCCACTGCATCTTACCCATTAATGTAAGTTGGAAGGAGGGTAGAAATAACCTTAGCTACTCTATCCCTTTGAGATGTATTTTTATCTTGTCTCAATAAACATACTTCAACTTGAACTTGTAAGTTGGTGCCGAATGCTGGATGCTTCGTCTTGGTCTCAAAGATGGTAGAATGCTACCAAGTGTGAATTGGCTGTTAATTGTTGGCTTAATTTGTTTGAGGTGTAATGTTTCACTGATGTCTAATCTTCTATTGTCACTGTATCTGTCGAGTATTCCAGTGTTATTTGTCAAAATATCTATGCTGATGATCTGGTTTGATTGAAATAATTTTATGTTTGATGCAAGCATTGCTGTTTGTGCATTGTGAGGCGCGTTATATATTGTTGTCTCGGCTTCATAATGAGAAATGAGATCTTTTGGGGGCGGACAGTCCCCTGGTGTGCATGTTAAGGCATTGACGACATTCGTCTCTTTCAACTCTCTGAAGTGAAGAACATAAATGTATAACTCTTGTACTCTTATATCACTATTACTCATATGAGTAACTTATTGACTCTCACGTTTCAAAAAAGTGTCAAGCACCATTGGGGCAATCTTGTAAATGGATGACTTCCATAAGGGTAACATGGTTCCTGAGACCTACCGTATTAGACCAATATTACTCACAATGAGTGGTTCTCATCTCATTAGACCCCCTTTAAAAGTGTTACGTTTCCATTGCGTTTTCATTGAAGTAACTTGAAACACAGAGAAAACCTCAAGGAATCGGAATCATTATCAGTAATAACTTTTACAAAACGTTATAATTTTAGAATGTCATTATATAATTAAAATTAATAATTATTATTATGATAGCATTAAAATTAATATAATACAATTTTATAATGCAAAACTGAACAGGAGTAAACCAGTGCCAAACAATCTAATATTTTCCACACTTGATTTGAACAACTTATAGATTAAAATTTAAATGAAGAAATACTGTTAAATTATTGCATACCTGTGATGACAACCTTAGTGGTGATAAAACTCAGTAATGCAGACGATGAGTCACAATAACGTGGCTGAAGACACGATGACCAAACCACAGGTCAGAAGATGAGAGACGACGACGTTCCTCCATCTTCTGCTCTATAGTTTGGTCATTAAAACTCGGACATGAAAGTAATAGCTAGTACGAGGTCTAGTTATGGCATGAGTAGTACTTAACAGTAGTAATGGCAACAAGAGCCGTAGCAACGATTCACACAGATGGGGTTGAACTACTAATTAGATGATATTTAGGTTTAAAAGCGTTGTTCAGGGAGTATTACGTTGGTAATGAAACAGCGATGAAGTAATGTCGTTAAAGATAAATGGGATCTAAGAGGGTCGTTTAGTACGCCGAAGATAAGTGTTGGTGACGACTAGTGGCCGAGTCGTAGGCAACCAGAGGCCCTTCTCCCAAGTTGTTACAACGTCACATAAATGATGTTCTAAATTACCGAAACAAACCTAGCCGAGGACTCACGAATAGGGACAGTGATAGCAAGTAAAATTTTGTGAGTCGCTATAATTAATAGTGCATCCCTGTTTGGCCGTTGGTGATTTATACGTCAAAATGCGATGTACTATTCAAGAGGGCAGGTGTTAGCTTGGGTGGTCTTGAAGAGGACGATGAGGAGGAAGAGGATGCTTCAGTCTTCAAGCGAAGCAACGCTTGCTGGAGGAGGGTGGTGAAGGGGGCTACCGAAGCGTTCAGGTCAAACCCGAGGACGATCTCGTACAGAATCTGAAAAGTATTAATGTCGAGATAAACAGATATAAACAGTCTTATTTTATGTTGTCAAATGAATTACTATACATTTTCTCTGTTCACTCACTGTCAAAAATAGTCCGCATCAGTAATGTATTTATTCGTTGTTTTCTTAATGCTCTAAGCTTTTCTGAAATGTCTTTAACGCATTAATATTTCAAAGCAAATGGCACGTCCTTGTGATACGTTTTCAAGCTTTAATTTGGATGACATTATAAATTATAAGGAAACTGTCTAATAAATAAATAATGGCTCAATGTTGGAATTGTATAACAATTAACAACTTTTCGATTTGAAATGTGACTAAACACCTACAGTTAATGGCACACTTTTCATGCAATATATTTTTCTTACCAAGCATACGCCAAAATATGAATTTTGCCACTGAAATACAATTAAAAATGTTAATCTGGAGAGTTACAAAATCTACATTTTGTCCTTGTTGAAAATTCTCTTTCCTCAAAGAAGTTTAAAAATTAAAGCTTCCTAAAATATACATTGATTCACTGTAACAATAACTTGGAGACCATAATTGAAATTCCTGTTTTTGTTAAATAAATATTACAAATATTCTCACCTGGAAAGTAATGTTGACGTGTCTTGTGTCTGAATTGATGTCATGGTCTTGGAAGAGGTCGATACTCGCAGCATCCTCACCATAAGAACAGCTTCCGGGATCATGTCTCCAGCATCCACCAAGTACTTGGAACATCTCCCGGTAATCCATCAACAGCATTTTGATAGTTTCCTGATAGGACAAGAAAAATATTTATAATTAGTATGGTCGTGTGTGCTGGGTGGAGGGTTTCCTTATATTAATAACTGATATTTTCTTTGTGAATTTTTTTGTATTAAATCCACATTGAGAGCATAATGGTTAACTGAATATAATATAAGACAGAGCTTATGTATTAGATTTTTTGTTTAAATTTGGTTGGTTTGGTCGTTACGACTTGGACATATACGAAACATTTTGGCGTCATTCGAGGCGCAAATGGATTAATTTTAATGAGTCGACTGACAGTCAGGTGACATGCGTACCCCAGTCATAAATCACTGTGGTGGAGCCAGCCAATAAAAATCTGAGTTTGCAGCCATCACATGTCGTGATAAGGTACTTGATGTTGACGTGGTAATTAATTGTAGAGGCAAACTCACTAGTGTATGAGCCTCGTGAGCTGTCGCAAGTCTCGTTGAGTCCTCTGTTATGTGCAACCCGTCCTCGACTCAAGTCCATTACATTCAGCGGTCAACCCCACAGACGCATTCATAAATTTTAGCATGCTGTTCATTCAAAACGGGAATTTTCTCAAATATAAATTAATATTATAATATATTGGCATATTGTGTATATATAGGCATAGGTTAGGTTAGGTTAAGTGTTTAGGTTCTGTTGGCGATTATTTGTATTTGTAGTACGTGGGTGAAGCATTTATAGCGTTGTGATTCGAACAAAATTCGTCAGTGAAGCACTTGTTCCGGATATGTTCGAACATCAGCAGTTGTGAGTCGTGTGTAAACCGCTTTTCATTCATAAACAGGGGTTTGGCGAGTGCATGGAATCACTTTTGGATCTTTGTTTGGAGGGCGGGCTGGTTATGTGAGTCATTAATTTCAGCTTATCGGGCAGCTACCCAGTGATCATCAGTGTTCCATGCATATATTGCAATCGTCCAGTAGCCTTCGAGACATACAAATAATTTGTTCCGATTACACTCCAGATGATCAATATTGGTAACTCTTAGACCTGGAGGAGTGAGCGACGGGCACCAAAGTCATGAAAACAGCGGGTCTACAAGTGCTACAGTCTCCGGACTTACTTGGGAGAAACTTTATTAACTGATGGTGAGATTTACACTCTGGTGATGTTAGTGATAATCAGCCAGGCTATATTAATAGCCTGAGGTAGAGACTCATTATTACTAGCTGGGCAGCGTGCCATACTAGCGAACATGCCGAAGTAGTACTCTCAACAAAATAGTGGCGCTGAATTACTGTGGTGACTTGTGATAGTGTAAAAGTTAGCGAGGTGTACTAAATTAACTCTCTGAAAGATTAATTAATTCTATTATATTTTCAATGAGGGTGATGCTAATTCTATTGTCGGTGAGGACACTACAAAATAACTTTACATGTAAGGAGTTTCCTGCCTGTTATCTATCCGAATAATTCCCTCTCTCTAGAGAGTGTTTTCTTCCTTATAATTTCCTCCCTTGAGATAACTTTTTCCCTACAAAAATACAAAATAAGAGACTAGTGCTAACACAGATGACTGACAACACGATGAGTATAATGAGAATATGAGGGTGACGCTATAGTGATGATGTTGGCTGTGACACGTAATGAAGTCATTCACATTAACATTACACAGCAACTGGCATCTCATTAACTTTCTGATGAGACGAACATTTCAGTAATAATAATAATAATACTAAATATAATAATAAGTGGAAAAAGACAAAAACGAAATTCTGAAACATAATTTTTTAGCATAAATTTTAAGTAATTGTGTAATAATAAGAGGATAAAAATATAAGCTTCTTAACCACTTCAAATCAGGTTTTTAACTTTCACTAATAGTATAAAGCCTAGTGACAAATCAATCAATAACTTTATTCGTAAATAATTGTTTGTGTATAATTAAAACCCAGTGTATCAGTGCCAAAAATATAATGGATAAATGTCAGAGCCCAGTGTGTTAAATACTGTGAATCAAAACCCAGTATGTTAAATACAATCAATAAATGCCCAGTGCGTTAAATAAAGCTAATCAAAGCCCAGTATGTTAAATATAGTGAATATATGCCCAGTATGTTAAATACAGTGAATCTATGCCCAGTAAGTTAAATATAGTGAATAAAAGCCCAGCATGTTAAATATAGTGAATCAAAGCCCAGTGTCTTATATATAGCGAATCAAAGTAACATTTAACATTGAGTTAAAGATAGTGACAGGAGCGTTCTAACTTCTATACAAAACACCATGAATACTGTCTCACCCGTCCGTCGAGTTTTGGACGCGTCTTGATGAAGTGAAGTGCTGTAAGTGTGAAGTTCCCATGAGGGCCAATGAACGCTCTCAGAGTGGTGAGATTCATAACTACCGGAGCATCATTCTCCGCCACGACGGAAGAGTATCCAATACGCTGGAAGAGATCAGATTAACAATGTGGCGAAGGTATGTGAGTTTAATTATTGCCATTAAATCATTATTATTTCATTTTTTCATTGCTTATTGTTACTCTCAGTATTGAATTGAAATATATTTTTCTAGCACAACAATTACTGGATTTTGCATCAGTCACAAAGAGTCACATTCTTTAGCGTGGTGGACCACGTCTTGTCCCGTTTACCTTCTGGTCCAGCGGTTCCATCTGTACCTCCCACATGTACTCTGCCGGGGCCACAAACACGGTGTTCTGGTCTATGTATATCACAACATCCTGCTCATGCGGCAACGACTCCACCAGGAAGAGCTTCGACCACTGGCAAGAGCTCCTCCGCTCTTCTTGGAAGTTGGACTCAAAAAGAGGACTCCAAGCCACCGCTCGCTGGAACAGTAGCCTGGATCGATACCTGCAGGGACGTGTCGTTCACTACCTTAATGACAGCATACGCTCTTTAATAGTACCTTTTATTTGTCTTTAATATGAATATATTTGTGTATGCTACTTTAAAATGCGTCGTTTGTTTAATATTTAACTTTTCCTGAATTATCAAGTGGATGACGAGAGCCCAAAGCGACTTTATTAGTAACTAACGTTCCATTAGAAAGGTCTTCGATAAATGTAACTCAGATACCAATGATAAGTGTTTATAAAAAGAAGAATAGGTCAGGGAAGTTCAGGACGCGTTGGATCAGGAATTCTACAACACATCATCTAAAGACGCAGTGTAAAGAAACTACACTATTCTAACAACATTAAACAGAATTAAGGAAATTTTCACATTTATCTTATTAATTTAATAGTTACACCTTTCTCGGTGTATATACCTGAGAGTGTACTTTAGCTGTGTAAAATGTTCAACACTGAAGTGTTCTTGCTGGTGTGTCAGTAAGCACTTGTGGTAGCCTTAATAACCCTCTAGTGGTTGATAGGCATTAAGCTGAGCATAAAACGAGTGTTATTAATGGTCTTTGTTAATCAATTTCTTTGAAATAATACATACAAAATTACCCTAGTTTGGGCAACTCTCTGACGAAGCATGCTCACCTGGCTGGCCAGTCCTTGAGCTGATTGAGGACGAGGTCATAGATATCCTGAGTGTCAGTGACAAGTATGACTTTAAAGGCAGACTTGCTGGAAATCACGAGTGATTTCAGCATTATTTTCATGTGGTCCATCTGACTGGATATGCTGATATGGTAACTGTGAGGCGGTTGACTGCTTTCACATACAGTCGCTACAAAAGTCTTGTCAAAAACTGGTTCAATATTTCCTTTCTCGAGATAATGCTTTTCGAATTTTGTTAGTACGTCATCTTTGCTCGCAGAATCATGACTGACAGCTGACAAGCTGTTAGAGTCAGAGTCTGTTTTGCTTAGAAGATGTCTTCTACTCCCTTCAAAACTTCCCCCGTTCTCCGAATTGTTCTTCACATTAAAGTTTAGCAAGCTTTCTTGCTTGAACTTCTGTTTATCCGCAAATACATATCGCTTCCTCGACTCAGTTGGAATAACATATGCCTCGAGGTTTTCATGCTCACTGCGTAACTCTTTTTCAGTATGGAGATTATTTACGGTATCCTTCGGCTTCTCTATGGCTTGTAAAGAAGAATGACGTCTTGTGGAACGCCCATTTTCTTTGTTGTGCCTCGTCTTTCTTGAGACTTTCCTTGTCCTCGCCTGCTCTCTATGTCTCAGAGAGAGCACTTCCTCTCCTCCACGTCCCAGATGTGATAACTCTTCACTCACACCACTGTCGCTGTCCCAGTTGCTCCTGAGGGAGAAGGCGATGAAGCTCGTTACGGTCCACCAGAGGAAGAGTGTGACCACCACTCCAGCAGTTGGGTGCCTTCTTATTTGTCTCTGAATCTGCGTCAACATTCTGCACTGTTTCACTAGGAAGAAGCACCGTGGACACAGAAAGGGGTATAAGAACACAGCTACAAAATAGATAGTATCAAGGCACTCTATCAATGCTTATAACTGGTGCAGCAGAGGGAGAGGAACGCCAGCCTAACGCTGCCAACTACACGGAAGTTTCAACTGGAAATTGTCCAGGAAAAGGCTCACCAAAATATACGACGGTTACCAAACATCACAATCACTTACGATTATCCTTTACGAGACGCATTATAATTATGCAACAAATATGCAAGATGAAAATAAGACGCTGATAATATTGGTCACAGATCACTGACGAACATCTTGACATACTAAATCCGACAACTCTGCCACATACTCACGTACAAGACCTTCACTGGCTAAGGACCTGGCCCAGGACCTGGCCCAGTACCTGGCTCAGGACCTGGCTCAGGACCTGGCTCAGGACCTGGCTCAGGACCTGGCCCAGGACCTGGCTCAGGACCTGGCCCAGGACCTGGCTCAGGACCTGGCTCAGGACCTGGCTCAGGACCTGGCTCAGGACCTGGCTCAGGACCTTGCTCAGGACCTGGTCCTGAGCCAGGTGGAGAGAAACTTTCCCTCTACTCTCACTACTTGCATTATGATTATAATTTTGGTTATATTAACAATACAGACTGGAAGATGGACAAATATTAACAGTACATGCTAGGAGGTGGAACAATAATAATGTAGATTAGGATTTGCAATAAATCCAATATAGATTAAGAGACGTAACAGCATTAACAATATAGAGTATAAGATAGAGCAATATTAACGATACAGACAAGGGCAAGAAACAATAGTATGAATATAAATAGGAACTTCATCAATGCTAGAAACATCATCTATTATCTACCTATATTAACAATAAACGTCGCTAGGAGATGAAACAACATTGAAGAACGGAAGAAATGGCACCAAAGAAATCTGTGAGTCCCATTTAGCTGCCATTTATTGTCAGCAAAATTAATATCGACTTCCTGCGATTAATTAGGGTGGGAAGAGGATGGTCATTATGAAAATGACAAGTGATTTTAGCTGGAGGGCATGTAATGATGGTGGTGGTGATCATTAGTGATTAATGGCTCTTAGGGCAGTTTGTGGAGGTGATGAGTTGGGTCGGGAATGACAATGATTAGTAAGCACTGTCGCCCGGTATCTCTACCGAGAGTCTGTTGAAGTTGACGTACTGATGGCTGTTTCTAGGCGGTGAGTTGACCTATATTTGTTGTTAGGAACTTGATTAGTTAGAGAGGATATGGCTAGTGTTTGGTGCAGTGAGAGGTGAGGCTGGTACGTTGTTGAGTGTGAAGGAATGTTATTGTGGTGAAGGTCAGTGGCTGGAGGTCCAATATGGCACACTTCAGTTATAGAGAATGCTGAGCTGGTATGCACGTCACCTTGATAAATGATCGAAGAGGTCGTATGCTAAACTGGCCGTGAGTAAACTTGACCACTTGAAAATGCCGAGTCTGTCTGTTATCTGTCTCTCTCTCTCTCTCTCTCTCTCTCTCTCTCTCTCTCTCTCTCTCTCTCTCTCTCTCTCTCTCTCTCTCTCTCTCTCTCTCTCTCTCTCTCTCTCTCTCTCTCGCTAAGAAACATGGCATCTCAATAAAACAGGTAGGAGTACTAACAGGTGGACTGCAAGGTCACAGACTTGAGTTGTGGCCAATACTGTTTTTTTGTCACAAGAAACACGCAAACACACA